CGACAGACAGACAGAGTTACTTTCGCATTTATAATATTAATATAGATAGTATAGAAGTATAGATTTTCATAAATTATTTTTCTTTAATTTACATGTCCAATTTCTTTAGCGCGAAGTTTTGAATTTTGAAATAAGTAAAGTATCATTTTACTATAATTTCAGCTGACTGTACCAACAATATTTCACATCTCGCTAAAAGTTCTGCTAACGGTTGTACTTTTTTAAACCGGCCCGGTCGTTTGCGATAAATCAAATAAATCGCCCGCATCCACGGTTTTGGAGTTGCTCTTAACACAATTAATATGTGCAACGCCCTCTCTGGAAACAGAATGGCGAACAATTTACGAACAGTGTCGATAGATGGCGGTGGGAGATAATTAAATCGCGAGGTAAATGATTACCTGTGTTGAGAGGTGATGAGTGATGTTTGTGATTAGGAGAAATTAATATTGTAAGAGCATTAAATCATTTTAGTGAACTGCAGTACACTGCTAGACGTAAATCTCATCTGAGGATTTTCAAAGAACATGGTTTCTTGATATTTTCATTCTGGCACTGCTTAACAGACTATCCTTGCGGTAAAAAGGAGTCGTATCCTAAAAGATTTTTATATTAACGAGTCATCAATCTCATTTTGTCATCAGAATTAAAAGTAGAGTGAAGTAGGTGCTTTGTACTTTCCATGGAAACAATAAGTATTACGTACAAATCTTATGTATTTCGGAGAGTTCACAACATTCACGAATAGGTACATCTTGTTTTCAAAACTCCCACAAACTTTGCTTCCCAGAAAGTTTACTAATTTTCTGAATTTAGAGTTTTCTAAATCTGTAGGAAACCTCATCCACATTCTGAGTTTGTCCAATTACTAAAGTTGGGAACATTGAAAATCTTTAGTTTGACCTAAATTTCGATCCATACACCGATGTGTGTTGAATACTAGTCGTGTGGGCCACACTATGGCAACATTGTGTTGTAAAATTGCGTCGTGGTTAGTTTCATTGTAACTCATTGATCTTGCACAGGGAGCTTCGTCTCCTTCTTCATCATCATTTTCTTCTTCTTCGTTAGCTCAAGAATTTTTGCTGACTTACTGTTCAAAATGACACTTGAAACCATGTTTTTCAGCGTGCTGCATTTTCTCTAAGTTAGGTACTAAACACCCTTATTGTTCGCTCGGTCCTAAACAGGGTAATCTTGTTTAAAATGCGTCTCTTTGTGCATTGATTTTTATTTATCAAAACATTTCGCTAAGCCAATTTCATCCAAAAATGTCGTTCCCTTTACAATTCTTCCTCAAATCCAAGATTTATCGAGTCGACGGATCCATTATAGAATCTCTCGAGCCATTTAATTCGGCAAAAATCTTTATTAGAATTCGAAGAGGCAGAAGTATGCATTAAAACAGATATTGTTTCGCTGCGGCGTATTTCCCTAAGGACTCTGTGCAAAGATGAGGTATGGAACAGATACACCGAACGAAATATTCAAATATTTTGCAACAATATTATTCAACAGCTTAAAGTACATAGGTAAATATAAATGATAGATGTGAAATACCTACATAAAGCGTAGGTTTCACTTACACTGGGGTAGAACCTATGAAATACACATTGATTAAATGGGGACACAATGAGTATTATACCTAATGTTTATTAAGGCTTGTAACTTTAGAAAAACATTCAGCACACAAAATCTACCTGTAGGTAGTTATAAATTTTTAGGTAAGACTAAATTAATAGCACAGTATTTATTACTGAACCCAACTGTACCTACATTGCATTGAAATATATCCACAGAATTTTCTATAGCTATCCCAATTTATTTGGAAATATACGTTTCAACCGCAAAAAAATTAACATCACTGCCCAACCAACATTGTACTTGTCACCTATTGGCTATTGTTTTAAACTTTCATGGACACTAACATAATAACTATTGTTGACGGGATTGCTACCGTGTACCTTAATTTTGAGTTTCCGATATTTCGGCACTGTTGCAAGCGCCATGGTCACGGAGTAACTGAGGAAACTTGCGGGTGAGATGTCATATCGGTCTACCCTCTAGGTACATGGTAGCAATCCCGTCAATGATAAATTATTATATTGGCTATTGGTTCTTGAAACGTTTGAAGCTCCGCCAGATATTCCTAGTTTCCTGCCTAACATCTGCCCGAAACAGGCCACTGGCTAAATTAAAACTCCCCATAACGACCACCTCATCGGGGACGACGCTCTTTTCATTAATATCCCTTGCTTTATTACTTTCGATTCTCATTCCGATGGAATTATTATTTCTTACTTTTTGTTTTCTTTTGATATTTTTAATTGATAGGAATGTTGTGTTTACTTTGTACATTGTAGGGCTTCTTTCTCTGGTTACATTTAAAAAATGAACAGCACGTTAATCTTTTCATAAGATTTCCTCAATAATGTTTAAAATAATGTCCAAAACAATGTTGTCTTTACTAATGAAGAAAGCCTTAGTAGGTACATACAATATCTCCAAGATATTATGATAAATTAAACATTCAGACGGTGACCCTGGTGACCAGTCAGGACAGTAAATGTCAAACTTTGTTTGCTAAAACATCAATATTTTCATTTTCTCTTACTAAAACTCACTGAAGACCACTGCAAACATCTCAAAATCCTTAAAATTTGTTGACACTCTTCACAAGTCATCCACACATTACATAAAATTCAAAGAGATGAAAAAAACCGTGGATCTAAAATAGGCCTAAATAAACAAGTGATTTTAACGGTCCTTTTGCAGAGATCAAATATTTGCGTGTCTGAAGGGCTGAAGTAATTTCTCAAGTTAACCAAACAGCGATCAGAAGTTGATTTTTCTTATTACACATCAGCCATTCACATATTCAGGTCTTCACGCGGCCTTGAGCACAACACATGCGGGAATAGTGGCGGTACACACGCGTTGGTATCACGCACGGGCACGCGGGTTACCCGCGGCACGAGTAGTCATCATCATCAGATAGTATCCATTCCAGGAGGAAGACTTCAATGGGTTACTAAATCACTTTATCCAAAAATGCATAGTTTGCAAGAATTAGAGCAAAAAGTGAAAAAAAGTCCTAGAATATCGCAGTTACTTGGATTGGCTCCCAAAAGTTATGCACTTAACATCAGGTGAGATACAGGCCAAGAGCTTCCTCGTTGTGGATAAAAAAAAAATGCACACCACCTGGGATTGCGCAAACTTGGATTAAACGTATTTTGGACCAAAATAAATAATAACACCTTGCTGGAAATTAATTCTTCGTAAAAATCCAATTTCAATAGCCTATTCCGACATTTAGGTGTGATAATTTGAGATCCTCAGATTTTTTTCCAACCGTAATATACCTACTTTATGTAGTTTAGGGAGCTCGCGGACTACTCGTATAACGCTAACGTTAATCAGCTCAAAATGAAGTAACTAAATGCAAAAGAAACGCCGGCACGAAGTGATTACGAAATTACAACTGTCATTAGATTTTATACGAATAACTTGTGTGATAAGCGCTTGAAAAAAGGGTCGTTCCCGTCCACAATACTGGCTCGTGTGTCCCCAACAAGTTTCTCGTTGAACATTCCGCGCGAGTCCAGCGGAGTGTTTTCCGAGCGTTTTCGCCCAAACGTAAGGCATCCACTTGGTATGCGCGAAGTCATAGCTCGGGAAGAACAGACATCTCATTTGGAATACCAAAGAGCGAGCTTGTTGCGTCATAAATCATATTGTGATCGAGCTCAAACAAATATGTTTTTTGTTATCTAGAGTTGGTATAGTTAAGTGTAAAAGGAAATCTATTGGTATAATTCATCTTTTTTACGTAATTTATTATTTGTTTATGAAAAACAACAAGATGGAATGCTAAAAAGGATGACTCTGAAACTTTTGAAACCTGTGAAAAATCTAGAATGTAGAGCCATGTACTTAATGAGCCATGACCTCACATGGCCCCGCAATACTGAGATGGTATTCATATCTAAGATACATTTTAGTGATTTAAATCAAAATAGGCACACTGTAAAGGCCAATAAAAATAATATTTTATAGTATCCGCAGAATTTGAGTCTTCGTGACACGCTCTCTGCCGTCACGGCTTAGTGCCATTTTCTTGTGAAAACAGTAGTGTTAAACCTAGATACTGAACAGATCCCATTTCCATTTTCCGTCATGTTTATTAGTTTTAGATTAATAATAATAAATTCTTTATTGTCATAAAATGTTACATCAAAACATACAACATTATTTATTATTTCATTTTGTATGGATACGGGCTTATTTCTTTTTTTCTGCATGCAACTAGACAGGCTGTATTGGTTTAGCTATATCCTAGGGCTGGCTCCCGCATGCAGGGCGTCGTCTGTATGATTTATTTACAGCGCGCGCGTGATGTCTTGCTCTTGTGTAACAGATCTGTTGTGATTTGACAACGGGGGATTGTATCAAGGATGTTTAAGGACATAAGGGTTATATTACCAGCTGCTAGATACATCTAAACCCATTTGTGTCGTCGGTCGTGATAAGCTCACGACCTTTCGTTAGCTAGGTGTCTACTCTAACCATAGAGAAACGCGTTGGACGTTTTGTTACTCATGAACCTATTGGCACAAAAGTAATGCTTAATCAGTAAATTTTCTGATCATAATCGTTTAAGAGGGTTTTCATCACTCGTCACTCTTGAGGAACGGCCAAGGCAAATCATTTAGATAAAAGTGTGGAAACCTGTAGGATTTACACACGTTATTACAATGAGAATTTCGATGCGATCATTGAGTCAGCAGTGGAACAATAATTTAAGTTTAATCAATCGTATATTGCAGGGGGCATGACAGTAGTTGACAGTACCAATTGCCGATGTGACATTTAAGGGGCCAGGTCCCCCCTGAAAAATTATCGATACGCCAATGATCAATCATCAACGAAGACACTTACAACCACCACCTCAAACTATCGGCAAAAAAGAAACAGCCACTTACTTCCAAAGCCTTTATTGATCAAACCCTCACAGCGGCAGCGTGGTGACGCTGCGGATCCAGTCGCGGACCTGCGGCACGTTGCTGTACACCCCTGGCTGGTCCTTTTGAGCGCAGCCCACCCCGAAGGACACCAGGCCGATCAGCTTGCCGTTGTGGACCGCTGGGCCGCCGGAGTCTCCCTGGAGGATGAAAGATTCATCATCATCATCATTTTCAGCCATAGGACGTCCACTGCTGAACATAGGCCTCCCTCAATGATTTCCACAATGATGAAAGATTACGATGTGTAAGTCATTGGAGGAGGCCTATGTTCAGCAGTGGAAGTCCTGTGGCTGAAATGATGATGATGATGATGAAAGATTACCAAGGGTTCTCAGTGCTTTGGCCTCAACGTGTGTAAAAGGCTCGTTTTAACCTGCCTGAAAGCCATGGGAATATGATTGGTATCGCACTGCTTTGATCTTTGTCAATGTGAAGGAAAAAAGAAAGAAGCTTTGATTTTTTGCTTCTCCTCCTCAGTTATCAAACTTATCTGTTCTAATGCTTAAATTAGTCTTGACAACTAACTTTTAAATACAATAAATAGCTGGAGTCCAACTTGACCTATTTTTTAATAAATGAAACAGTACTTACAAGTTCGAAATGATGATGATGCTGACCTGACAAGAGTCCTTGGTCCCGTTAATGAACCCGGCGCAGAACATTCTAGGGCTGATGGTTCGGTTGTTCTGGTTGGAGAGAGACACGCACTGGTGGTACGACATGATGATGACTCTTGCAATATGTGGTGTTTCTGGAAGATTCTAGAGCGGAACAGTGTAGAAGTGATGCTCACCTGGCAAGAGTCCTTGGTGCCGTTGATGAATCCGGTGCAGAACATTCTAAGGCTGATGGTTCGGTAGTTCTGGTTGGGGAGGGACACGCATTGGTCGTGCGACATGATTGGCACGTACACCCACCGAAAGACCCTTGAATGTTCTATTCATGGAAGATTCTAGAACCGAACAGTACTAGAGTGATGCTAACCTGACAATAGTCTTTTGTCCCGTTGATGAACCCGGCGCAGAACATTCTAGGGCTGATGGTCCGGTAGTTCTGGTTGGGGAGGGACACGCACTGGTCGTGCGACATGATGACTCTTGCAATATGTGGTGTTTCTGGAAGATTCTAGAGCGGAACAGTGCAGAAGTGATGCTCACCTGGCAAGAGTCCTTGGTGCCGGTGATGAACCCGGCGCAGAACATTCTAGGGCTGATGGTCCGGTAGTTCTGGTTGGGGAGGGACACGCACTGGTCGTGCGACATGATGACTCTTGCAATATGTGGTGTTTCTGGAAGATTCTAGAGCGGAACAGTGCAGAAGTGATGCTCACCTGGCAAGAGTCCTTGGTGCCGTTGATGAACCCGGCGCAGAACATTCTAGGGCTGATGGTCCGGTAGTTCTGGTTGGGGAGGGACACGCATTGGTCGTGCGACATGATTGGCACGTACACCCACCGAAAGACCCTTGAATGTTCTATTCATGGAAGATTCTAGAACCGAACAGTACTAGAGTGATGCTAACCTGACAAGAGTCTTTTGTCCCGTTGATGAACTCGGCGCAGAACATTCTAGGGCTGATGGTCCGGTAGTTCTGGTTGGGGAGGGACACGCACTGGTCGTGCGACATGATGACTCTTGCAATATGTGGTGTTTCTGGAAGATTCCAGAACTGAACAGTACTAGAGTGATGCTAACCTGACAAGAGTCTTTTGTCCCGTTAATGAATCCGGCGCAGAACATTCTAGGGCTGATGGTCCGGTAGTTCTGGTTGGGGAGGGACACGCACTGGTCGTGCGACATGATGGGCACGTACACCCGCCGGAGAATCTCTTGCATGTGCCGTTCCTGGAAGAGCATGTGGATTTTACTAAAGGTCTAGCGTTTAACTCAGTGCCTGTGGTATGGGAGCGGCATGAGAGAGGTAACACTGACAAAGTTATGACGTGACAGGGGCATACAAATCTGAGGTTTCGCTGACCTTTGGCCGTCACAAAATCACGCACTAATGTGCAGAAGTCTACCCACTAATGTGAAACGGATGCATGAACTGCATTTTTTACTCTACGTAAGCTAACATTTATTTTTGAGCAATTAAAGTGTAGTTTAAAGGATGGAATCATCATCCACTATTGAATTTATTTGAAATTATACTTTAATTTTTAACCCAAACATTTTCCATCAGAGGATCGTACCAAGTACTGTACCGTATTTTTCAAAACCTAACAAAAGAAATACTTTGTTTTATACCGTATTTTAGACTTAGCAAGTTCCACGAAAGGCTACTGTAAAAAGGACAGGGGTCTAAATTAACATTAATTGTATCGAGTTATCCGAAGCCCTTTAGTAGGTACGTAGTTCCAGTATTTTCCGTAGTTTCAACAATTAAGTTTAATCTCTGACCTAATTGAATGTGAAAATTGTGAAATGCTATTTGCATAAAATGTAAATTGTAGTACCTATTTGATTTTAAAATTGTAATGTGATTCTGTACACGTGCATCCAAGCGAATTCTTCAACAAGGAAGTGAATTCTGACGAGTGCAACGTTACTTACGTCAACTCTGAGGCTTATGGGTATATGTATATTATAGCCTCATGGGTATCCTTTACTAAAAAAGATGGTGATGATATTTCCGACCAAACACTATTGCGACCACTTCAAGTCCTAGTCGAATTGAATGTGATCTATCTAGTCGGTATTCATGCACAATGGGGGCATATGACACACCATCTAATAGTGTTCAATAGGCAATAGTTGGGTGGATTTTATTCCGTATATCTCACCTAAGCTCTAGTTCGTTCGTTCGTTCGTTTCAGCCGAAAGACGTCCACTGCTGGACAAAGGCCCAAGGATTTCCACAAAGACCGGTCCTTGCGCCGCTCGCATCCAGGCACCTCCCGTGACCTTCACCAGATCGTCAGTCCAGCTAGTGGGAGACCTGCCCACGCTACGTCTTCCGGCTCGTGGTCGCCATTCAAGAACTTTCCTGCTCCAGCGGCCATCAGCTCTACGAGCCATGTGCCCCGCCCACTGCCACTTGATTTTAGCGATTCTGCGGGCTATGTCAGTCACTCTGAGTCTTATACGGATCTCCTCAGGCCTCAAGCCCTAGTACAGAGTTTTTATTTCACTATCTCTCACCTTAGCCCTAGTATACCCCCACCCGCTAACAGACACCACAGCCCCCGGCGTGACTTCCTCCACATTCCCGATCGCAATGGGCCTGGAGCTGGGCGTCACCGGGACCGGCGTCTCCAGCAGCACCAGCTGGTAGTCAAAGTCTTGGGGGTGTATCTTGTTCTCGTCGTCCCAGCGGGGGTGGATGAAGTGCGCGCAGACCTTGTAGCGGGTGGCTTGGCTGCGGCGAGTGGCGCCGGCTAGGACGAATTTCTCTTTATCTCTGTGAAAATAGAAGTGGTTTTACTTTGCACGTCAGTATTTTAGATAAACATATTGTGATAGGAGGCTGCGTACCGAAAAGCGCAGCGTGGGACGTCCACCCACAAGGACCGATGACATCATAAAGGTAGCAGGGAAGCGCTGGACGCAGGCCGCTACCAATCGATCAACATGGAAATCACTGGGGGAGGCCTATGTTCAGCAGTGGACGTCCTATGGCTGAAATGATGGTGATAGATTTGATAGATTGAGGTGATAAACTCTTCGTGTTCTATTGTATGGGTTGGGCTAAATTGCAACAATCGTGGTCAATATCGTAGGGGTAAAGCCACTCCGACATCAGACCTTGGAGGGCGACATTGCTCAACCAAAATAAGAGTCTCAACAATCTCAGTGATTTTAAAATTATCTTATCCCCAGTTTTGTTTATATACCTAATACTGGCAGCTTCTAAGGCAGATTTGATTTTCCAAATGGGTTTTTTCTGAAAATCAAACCCAAGTATTTAGAGTCCAGCCTGTAATACTTGAGAAGGACAACAATGTGGACAAAAGTATCCTTACCTGCAGTGAGCTGCAGTGAGCACCCAGATAGGAGCGATGAGCGATCCTCCACAGTACAGCCCGTACATGACCTGGTACGGAATGTTTGTGATGTCCACCTCAGTACCGCCGACGATGCGCCATTTGAACTGAAATGTAGGTACATACATAAATTCATTATCTATCATCGTCATCATTATTAGCATCGTCAGGTTATTTATTCTTCATCTTACGGGACTATTCCCACCTCTTGTTCCCACCGCTGCAACTCCTGTGTACCCAGGATCTACAGCTTGACCGCCACAAAAACCCAACCAATGAAGGTCAAGTTTGTCCCGGGGGAAATTTAAACTGTCATTGGACCCGCAACGAAATTAATCAGAAGAACATAGGAGTTCGAAATTAAGGTTCGACTTCCCTCCATTGCAAAGCGGATGACAGATGACAAACAAAGGTTTAAAACCTTTAATAAAAGATTAGTAGTAATATTAGTAGTAAATAAAATAAATAATAGTCTTCATCTGGCGGGATCAAATTTAAATCTTAACTGAGTAGGTTTAGGAATAGATATTTAACATTTCTAAAATTCATACGAATAGGTACACATCGCTGCACCATATTTATATTTACATACACTGATTGACTCCCAGTCAATTACTAGAGATATTATTTACATTCTGAAGTTTATTTAGACAAATAAATAGGGAATAGGTCAGCAGGCTCAACCTAGTAGAGCGTCGACTATTTGATCGGCGACAAGACAATGGCACATCAACCTAACCTAACTGAAACGTCTTTCTATGTGACTTTGCTATTTCAATTATTGTGAGAATATTAATCTCCGCAGGCGTGTCTGTCTCGCACTTTGCTGACCTCAGATTATTTCCCAAAATAGTTTTAGTTAATTTGTTTTTCTTATAAGTTAAGGACTAAAAGTTGACGACTTTCTGAAAGACAAGTTCCTATTATAGGCTTTTAGGGTAGAGATCAAGTGGGCTTGATATTAATATTTTGAGCTAAGGTCTCTCTAATAAATGCCTTGCCACTTAAGCAAGCTAGTAACAAGAAAACCTACTAAATCTACCTATTGTACACTGTAAAGTTAAAATAGCTTTCAAAATTCACTCACAATAACACATTTCAGTTCAGTCACCCCTCTCAATAAACTAAATGTTTTCACCAAAACTCTCGGTAAAATTGAAAATAAACAACGTATTCATCGAAAAGAGTGTATTTGAAACAGATTTAAGCTTTTCAAGGAGTGAACCTGTTTGATACTTTCAGTCTTTACTGTAAAGATTTTGAAGATCTTGATATTGTCAGATCTTCAAAAACAGCTTTTCCTAAATGGTGTTTTTTCCGAATTTGTTTAATTTCCGAGTTTTTCTAAATATATTTTACATAATTATGTCATTTTCCTTCTAATAGCTGAATGTGGTGTACACAGTTTTCAATAAATAATAATCTTGAATTCTTCATTCTTAGATTAATTTAAGGAACTACCTATTAAATAATCATTGTGCCACATGAAAGTATAAGTATAAAATAGTGACTGAGTTTATTGCGCTGCTTCTTCTCAGCACTGGCCCATTTATTGTCCTGAAGCAGTGGTAGGGTTAATGCTGGGACGTGTAAAAGTCTTTTTTTTAAGCCTATTTACAGAAATAAATCAGTTTTAAGAGTTTGTTTATGAGTTTTTAAAGTTTGTAATTGAAAATCATTTTATTCAATCAATACCTACTTTTTTTCTAGCTCACTCACTCACTCATTTCTCCAGTACATTCATCCACTATCAAGCGTCTTTAGTCGCGCCATAAATTTACTAGAATTCTATTTAGTCACGGCTTTGACGGGATCGCCCGCATCTCTGAGCGTATGTACAGGCGACAGCACGTCCAGCTACACACAGGCACCTTATCTACTTGTAATAGATCCTACTTTCCAATAAACAAGTCAGGTACTGACTGTACGTCGCGATTGCGAACGGATGCAAGTTATTTGCATGTTACTTGTTGCATGGCTTGCAATTTGTTGCATACGATTCTGTGATAAAGCGCTTTGCACACGACGCGATGATACGACACGATAAAATGCATGGACACGCGTTTTGAACTGTCATGTTGTAGCGATTTGATAGAATATCTTTCCATCTTCCATTTCCCAGTTAAGTGTACGTTTTTGCGACAGCCACTTAGTCATAGATGTTAATAAATTACAAATCACAAAAAAAAATATAAAAAATATTTTGGTAACCACAAAAAATTGTATGAATTTGAAAATATTTAATTCCTTCTTAAGAAGCGGATTTCATATTTTCATGATAAGACACCGCATCGCATATGCTATAAACATTTTTACTTCCTATTTGAGATCCAAAATCTTTAGGATCGTTTTATTATATCAATGCAATTGGGCACCATTCGCGACTGCGGCGCTGGGGGTAAAATATTTTTTATTTTGTAAACAGTATTTATTTATTACCAGCTTTCCGCCCGCGGCTTCGCCCGTGTGGAATTTTGTCTGTCACAGAAAAACTTTATCGCGCGCCTCCCTGTTTCAAGAACCGGGATAAAAACCTTATGTCCTTTCTCGGGACTCAAACTATCTCTATGCCAAATTTCATCAAAATCGGTTCAGTGGTTTAGGCGTGAAAGCAAGACAGATAGACAGAGTTACTTTCGCATTTAAAATATTAGCATTTTCAAGTTTAGTTTATTCATATATTCATAGTTCATAATGCAATGTGAAAATCATTCGATGCGTGTCGTTTCGTCATGCGTTATAGCGTGAAAGAGTCCTAAACTATATTACTGAATTACGAAAAGATTGGATAAATTCAAACAGAGCTTGTCGAAAGATAAAGCGGCAAATAAACAGAAATAAATAAAAACCTTAAACGCAAGGCCAGACGGCAGACTATGTAATATTAAATGTATTCGTACTTGGATACTTTAAATACGCGCCGTCTAGCCCAAAACCAAGCAAACAATTGGGTACCATATAACGGAAAAACACTTATTTTAAAATAAGTACTTACCTACTTACGTTCCTGCATATTTTATACACTTCTTAGAAAACAACTAGACTAAACAAATACATCTACAAAGAGTAGGTACCTACTCGAGAATTCTCTGCCAACCTTAGTAGGTATTCTTGAATACTTAACCCCAAAATCTTCAAAGTACGCATGAATAGGCATATTTTATGGTGATACGCTTCACAAAGATCACATCACATTATTTTGTGTAAGATCAAAGATTTACGAGTATAAAAGCCTTAAAAATACAAATAAATTCATTCATACGCAGGGTTGATACGGTGTGTGATGCAGTTTAGTAACCTATATTTATTGATATCGAATGATAGAGCTCGTGAAGCACCAGTAATCAGTTTTTCGATATGTTGTATCGAGTGAGGTCACTAATCGTTTCCATACATGGTTGAATTGTGCAGTGATCACTGGCATAGTCTAGTACTTGAAGCACCAGGCTGTAATTCGTCACTTTGACTTACAACTCACCGGCACAGCTTTCGTCTCCAAGTCAGCGACCTCGTGGTGGTACTGGTAGTTCCTGGGAGGCACCCGGCGCGTCACGAATATCTGGTGGTAGCTGGACACGCATTCTGGGGACAGCGAGCCGGTGTACAACTTTGTTTCTAGAATGAGGATAAAAACACATTTAATATAATACTAGCGGCCGCTCGCGACTTCGTACGCGTAGATTCCGTCAACCTCTTAGGGGTTAAGTTTCGTAAAATCCATTCTTACGTTCTAAAAGGAACCCCCATGCAAAATTTGAGACTCCTAGTACTTGTAGATTCTGAGATTCCGCGATGAGTGACTCAGTCAGACAATCAGTGACCTTTCGCTTTTATAAAATTAAATATAGATTTAACTTTTGCTCTCTAAAGGGTCGTACTCATACAATGGAGGCTTATAGAGGATAATGATGACAAAGAACTTCTGCTAGCCTCTCGCACTTTTCAGCCAAATGACGTCCACTGCTGGATAAAGGCATCCTCAAGAAATTCCACGATGACGGGTCCAGCGCTGCCGCATGCACCTTTTGCGACCCAGATCCAGATCGTCTGTCCATCAAGTGGCCAGCCTAGCTAGCCACCCACCCTCGTGTATTTCAGCCTGTCATGAAGACTTTGTCACGCGTTCAGTGACCAAAATTCTGTTCTAAGACACTTCATTTCTTGTATCATATGAATACCATTTCCATGCGAAACGACACAAATGAGACTTTTAATATTGTCAGAAATTGTTAATAAGTTCGCTATTTTATTCCTATCTTCATACTTCAACTAAACTTACAGTAATACAACTACAAATCTAGTTCTCAACCAGTTGTCAGACCCATAAAAACCTTCCTGCAGAATATTACAATACAAAGCCTCTAAAGCTTTACTTTGACTTGATAAAGTCAGTCTAGAAGTCAGTTAAGTTAGTGTTATCTATTCTTTTTTTTTTTTTTTGCGTCAGGAAAATGTATTGAAATGCATACCCACCGGTCCGGGGGTTCCGGTGGGTTATGTGGGGCTCTCCCTGCCAGAAGGGCAAGGCCTACCCACTAAAAACCTGACGGGTCCTTCGGGTGGCGCTTAGTGGAGTAGCACGTAAGGCGCCGTTAAGTCGTTCACGTGCGTACCCCCACGCTTTGGCCGCAGCCTCACTCAAACTGTCGCCCTTAGAAAAAAAAAAAAAAGTGTTATCTATTCTCCTATCCTACCTACCTATGGCCCATGCAATCTTGTTGTTATAGAGAGAGACCGGAGCGTCTAGATAAAGTAACATTCGTAATAGATCAATGTTTGTGATCGCATCTCTACCTCTTTTTAACAGACTTGAAAAAGGAGGAGGTTCTCAATTTGGTTGGTATGTTTTTTTTTGTACAACAACGATTACACTGAGTAAGATTAATCCGATTCGCGTTATTCTTTATAAACACGTATTAGCTCGTATTTGTGGGTGCCGTATTACCTATTTGTGATCAATCCAGCAATTCATAGAGTCAAACGTATCATAAAAATACGTTTTTTTGTTATGTAGTCCCATTTAGGGCATTTACGCCCGTATTTACAAACATTACTATGAGGTCTCACAGTGGGCGTGGATGCACAGGGTGACATAATTATGAACTAATCACAGGGCTCTATTATTTAACGCTGTGCGTTCGATTTGCTGCTTCACTTAACACTAGAGTACACGCGCGGACTACTATAGTAGACCAGGGTAACATTTTACGCTATAACTTTTTGAAAACTTGCGCCAGAGAGCTGGCATTCCAGGAAAGCCTCGTTTACTAAATTTGTCAGTAAGCCAGTAAAGCTTGGGTCGCTAGCGTCTGCGCACTTTTCTAAAATTAGCCGTCAAAACTGCGGGTCTACTCAAAAGCCCGAAATCACTCGACAAAAAAATTATGAAAGACTTGCAACAAATGGATTTACACCGTGTACCAGGCAGTAGAAAGTCATGAATACTATGACAGATAAAAACTAATCATATTTTTTCAGTTATTTTGTTTTTGTTAACATTGGTCTCAGAGTGCAATTTTGGTCCAAAACATTTACAACTTTTAAATCTGTTTATAATGTTTGATCCCAAATAGTTATATAAAGAAACTTTGATTATAAAATAACTATAATAAACACTTTTATCATTTACTTAATTATTCTATTCATAAATTGCTTACAAACTGATTTACAGTGATTTTAAATTGGCTTACCAATGTAGGCCACGCGTGTATTCGTGTAAAAAAAGAGGCGCGTGTACTGCAGTGTTAAGCAAGAAACGTTTGTAAATACGGGCGTCACACTCGTTCCAAATATAATTTGCTCTACCGCTAAGTACTTCGGGATAAAATTTCAGCTAGTGCTGAGAAGTGGCGGGAGAAATTATTTCTAGAATGAATTCAATTTGCGTGTTTTAGAATAGAAACAGCGCTAAGTGCTGATAATCGAACCGTGGACACATGTTACGAATTCATTAAGGAAACCACGTAATCGATTCACTTCGCAAGTAAGCATTTAACTAGTTGTTTTTATAGAATGACTTTTATAACTTTAATTAATTTAAACTTAGATTATAAAATTAAATGCGTTTCTTTTAATAGTTTGCGACGTTTCAATGCCTGAACCAATTTAGTGCCAGAGCGAGACAAATTGAATCTTACCTAAAAGATGTTTAAAAGGGAAAGTTTGGGATTTCTTATGGTTTTATATGAAACATTTCATTCGTCGGCCGTTTGGTGTAGTGGTTCGAAACGGACTACTATTCCGGAGGTAGCGGGTTCGATTCCCGCACAGTACAAACATTTGTGTGCATGAACATATTTGTTTGTATTGGACTGGGTGTTTTCTATGTATAATATGTATGTATTTACAAAAAAAAAAGTATTTAAGTATGTTTATATCCGTTGTCTAGTACCCATAGCACAAGCTTTGCTTAGTTTGGAACTAGAAGCGCAGTGTAAAATGTCCAAGGATATTTATTATTATTATTTATTGAAAACGGGACGCGCCATTTCTGAAAAAAAAAAGTCCGAAACTACGAACAAAGGCATGGGCAGAAACAGTTAATAAATGCCAAGGATCCTTGCCAGTAATAACCTAACGTAATAACTAATGTGTTTGTGAAATAAAAAGCTTTAAACTTTACATAATACAAAACAAAAACGGCTTAATCATCTCAACCCGTAGATAGTGGTTGAGACCAGTCTGCTATGGTGACTAAAACTACCTTATTTACACGTTACACAAACCTAACTTAGGTAGTTTTCACACTATTGTGGTAGGAATTTCATCTCTATTAAAAGTCCCCATATTTATTTTTTAAAGAATAGGCAAATCTCTCATGGTAAGCTAAATAGTCGTACATGCTTGTGTGACGAGTGGGTTCGCCACAACCATTTGATATGGAACCCGCGTTCCTTAGATCTCAAATCAGTCCAGCAAAATAATGCGAACAGCTGGGGACTGGAATTTCCTGCTTGATGCTGTCTTTCCTGAACACTATAATCCAGACCTTTTCAGTGTGACAGCGAATGGGCACTTACAGGGCATATTTACCATCCTAGACTGCATCTAATTAATATGCATTAAATAAGCTGCAGGTGCGATTGCGGTCAAATACCTGTCTAGTTCTGCATAAAAAATGTCCGACGCCATTATCGCCTTTAAAATTAATTAAAAACCCACCAGAAGGAGCCGCAAGGTCCTGTGCGCTCGCGCAGCCCACACTGACAACCACACACGCACACAACACCGACAGCATTTTGCTGGACTGCTGAACCGCAGTCGCTGCTAGTTGCCGTGGCCAAATCGATCTTCGCGGCTGTCAGCCATGATTAACTTCGATAAGTTCGACGTTGGGGAGCAGGAATGGAGTGACCGTGAGGTTCAGTAGTGTGATTTACTAGAATCAAAATTGCTTGGAGAACCCCCTTGATTCTCTTCTTGTAAAAGAAGAAAGTAGAAGTGGTATATTACCGCTTTTGCTAGATGTAGACGGATTCACCCGACTCATTTTCTGGCAAAAACGTGAAACAAAACAGCGCAGCTTACTCACCGACTAAATGTCCCAAACGGAGTTAAATCATCAACGAAGTCATTCGGCGGAAGATTATCTTTGTACTTGTTTAATTAACAACTCTATTATGAAAGGGTCTTATCTTGAAAACAGAACTTAGTCTGCCACAGGATCTCTAAAATATTTTTTATATTTTATTGATTTATAAATATTTTCAAGTCAAGTACCTACAAGGCAAATAGTTTTATGACTTTATCATTATTAATTTGGTCACGCCACAACAGGGACTAGCATCCATATTTTTAACCGACTTCAACAAAAGGAGGTTCTCAATTTGGTTGGTACTTTTAATAAGGCAGTTTTGACAAACCTATTTCACGTAAAAATGTATCAGCATTTTTGCAACTCCAGGCACAATCACAATGTTATTTTAGTCGTAATAAAATTGTGATATTCCAGCGACAATCAAACGTATGTGCCCAACTTAGCCTCCTCGACAATAAAGCCGTGGTACTCAAACACAGTCGGCCATTCTACTTAACTTGTGGGCTGTCAAAAAATCAATTTCCCTACCCGCTGCCCTCATGAAGTGATAGTAAAATTGTTCCTCCATTGTCCCTCTTCTAGTGATGTGACGTCACTCAAAAATTTAACGATACCAGTAACAAAAAAAATGAAACGAAAAGGTCAATAAATTGTGATAAAGAAACACGAGTGTAAAAAGTAGATAAAGTTTATTTGTTTCTTAATTCGAAACAAATTACATAATACTCGTAAATCTAAAATACGACATTCACATAATTATCAAGGAATATGGTTTTTATGTTTGTCATTGTAGAGTCATTTGATTGAATTAATTGTTAGTGGTCCTGAGTTTTATTTTGATAACTACGTACCACATTTTGTTTAGTGTTATAAATCAGATTTAAAAGACCGATTAAATATTATTACCAAGTATTTAAAAAAGCATTTTTTTTTCAAACATCTTTCACGAGCACAGCCTGGGTAAAATGGCAGTAATAAAACGATACATTATTTCCATTTAGAATCACGAGTCACGCCCTTCAATAAATTACTTAGGTATAACGTGTAATCATAAATATATTCACGATATAAGTTCGTTATAATAACAGTATCAGTATTACGAAACAAGACCGTAAATAAATACCATATTTCAATTTAAAACAGTGTCCCATCACTAGTCCATAAACGCTAGGGCGGTCCACTATCTCCACCGCCATAACCGACCTCTCTTGACGAACGAAAAACTATGATATGCTAATTCGCCTTTCTGCTTTATGTTTCACGGATGGCCCCCGGGAGGGGCCATAAATTTGGACCCTCCGGGGGGATTACTGCAATATGAGGTCCTGGGTGGGCGGATAACACTTTATGATAAACCTACAACACCATTGTTTTAAGTTAGGGTAAGTGTGATAAAGTGGGACGAAAGAAATAAAGATTCCAAATCAGTTTTTGAAAAACTTATTTTAACTAAAGTATGCAATAATTAACACACGTATTTATTATGATACCTACTTGAAGGCTATATTGATAAGTTACAGATATTATCAACGATTTATTTGGTTTGTTGTGAAATTGCGAGTGAGGAAGAGAAAAGGGTGTGCTACGAGGCCTGAAAAATGTAAACCTGAAAATAATATATTTTCAATAATTTTCAGCCACTATTTTTGTTGTTACATGAACTAAATTAATATTTTATCAACATTTTTTTATATTTCTAGGTTTTCTATGGATGTTTTTGTGATTGTTAGTCGTTTCTATATCGAACAGGCAAATTGTACCCATTCTGTTAATACATGCAATCCCATTGTACCAACAACCTGTTCCCCAATCTGATGGCAGTAATGCCTGCCACCTATTTGTTCTTAACAGCACAGATATTTAGTTGCCATTTTATTGGCGCAATTGCAGCTTAATTTCGCTGCGCGTTGCAATACCTAGCGTTTGTAGAAATAATAGGAACATTAATTGTTCCGGCAGTTGGCCGGAACATTTAAATTATAACATTTTCAAATGGGAACTAAACTAATAAGGTGAAAGTAATTTATCTTTCTTGGCTANCCCTATAACGCGTACTATCGGGACACTTGCGCGAAAGACACTAGCGCGAAAAGCCATTTGCGTGCATAGACACTTGCGTGAATGGACGTTAGCGCGAAAAGACATTAGCGCGAAGACACTAGCGCGAAAAGCCATTTGCGCATAGACACTCATTTCATTTCGCGCTAACGTCCATTCGCGCTAGTGTCTTTCGCGCAAGTGTCCATGCGCGCAAATGGATTTTCGCGCTAGTGCCTTCGCGCTATTGTCTTTCGCGCTAGTGTCTTTCGCACAAGTGTACCAGAACCCATATAACGCACCGTTGTCGTTTTTAGTCATCATCGCAACAGATTAATTATTAACCTTCTCTTCAATACTATAGATATTAGAATAGGTAATGGATATTACGTAATCAGTGTACATGACAGGAGTAATTATTAAACTAATGAGATGCTTTTGTGTTGATAACAATACAAAGTGACAGTATCATTAATGATTGTAAACGATGATCTTTGCCAATTTCAATTATTTATTTATAGTTATACATTTCATAACGTTTATTTAACAGTCTTATATTTATGTATTTAAAATCTTATTCAAAGATATAGAAAAGAGAAGAAAAGTATTATGAAGTACTATTTTCCTTGAATTTTTGACAGCACGAATTTCACAAATGGTGTAGGAGGTAATTATTAAAAGACAGCTCAACTATTAAAAATATATTACTTAATGAAATCGGATATCACTCCGCCCCCAAAACAAATAAAACAAATTCAAAACAAAATATTCAACAAAAACATTTCAAAGTAAAGCGGTGATTTTACCCAACCCTTGAAAAGTGTAAATGTAACAATAACAAAGCTATGTTAGAAAGGTATTTCCAACTGTTACTTGGGTAATGTATTCAATATTTATTTACTCGAAGGTACATGCTTATTTTAAGTTATACGTATTATGTTAATTGGTCTTTCTGTCCGATCTACTCACACATTATTGAAATTGATTTTAGGAGTAAATCTAGTTTGATACATATTACTATGTTGATATTGGTGTTCATAAATAGGTAACTAAATGTTCCTCGCTAGTAAATAAAAAGTGAAAACTTTCATTTCAAGATTTGTCGAAATACCGCATATACTTAGGTATTTTCGTTTCTGATCATCATAAGATCTATTTGTACTTAGCTCTTGAGAAAAATGACATTTTATTATGTTCTAATGCGATAATGCAACAATATTGTCTACCGTGCGAGATCACGTTATTATGCTTTAATTGTTGTCATCCAACATAAACTGTTTGATAAATGATTTCGATTGTTTATGAACACACGAGTGCGACACGAAAGCTTAATTGCTGCAATCATAATTAGGTTTCTTTTATCAGTCAGTGATCGAATAAGTCAATCAAAAAACGTTACATACATGCATATTACCTACATACGAGTCTAAGGCTGGGTTGCACTATTTTACTACAACAAACGTCAAAAAATTGTCAAACTCCATACAAAACACAGTCATAGTTACGGTCAAAGTAAGGTGGTGCAACTTAGCCTAAGTCTCAATTGCAGTACTTTATCTTTAACCGTAACTGTAACTTGAACCATAACTATGACTTTTGACAGACATTTGATGTTTGTTAAAGTTAAAGTAAGATGGTGCAACCCAGCCTAAGTGTTACTATACCTCATAGTGGCTGCATTTCATGACAAATTCTTGTTAATTACCCACGCTTCAAAGATAAGGAACCTTTAACGTTACAGTTTATGTATTTATAGCACCTCCGCCCACGATAGCGCTTTAACAAGCGAGCTTTTCCTAAGTTGAAGTATTCGCTTATCTTGTTCCCATCTTCTCGTTTAGTCACGCTAGGTTTTACTGCGCTTCGTCAGTTTTATGAAATCTTTATTTATCTACTTACTGCTACTGCCAAGTTTTAATTAAATATGGCGCCGCATGAAATCCTGGAAGATTTATGTATTATGCACTAAATTGCAAAAAACCTTGAAGCGAAATTAAAATTATGGATTATGCTAGACGAAAAATTTATCTATGAACTTTGATTTTTAACGTAGATAAATGGTAAACGTGTGAATTCTATAATATGCACATTTGATTTATTACCTACAAATAAGTAACTTTAAAAAGTTACTCAATAATTTTTAGCATTTTTATAAATCAGTTGGTCAAGCTTTAATTTTAGTTTATGCAAATATCTAGCCAATATAACATGATTGCATGAATGCTTCTAACAAAACTAAAGTTCTTACAAACTTACATCCCTTCTCTTACCTAAGCCCTTTTACCGAGGAAAACTTTCAAAGTTGGGTGTCCTGCTCATTCAACCAATTAGGGAAATGTTCTGAAAGAGATGGAGTAATTTTAGCATAAGTCTCAATGCAGCGGAATCGAGGGTCAGGATTTAAGTATTGATCGGGTCGCCAAGCACGATGTACCTGAGGAACGTCCAATTGTTGTCTTTAAGCAAACGGCATCAACATATGTATTATGTACCACCACAAAATAAAGTCCACTAGCTATTCACTACGAATTTCCATGGGTAAAATGCAAATCGTCTTATTACGAAAAATGGACGTGTACAAGACGTTTGAGCATGTTTGAATTGATGGTTTGAGTTTGTGATAAGTTTTTTTTTCATATCTTGGCTTATGTTTTCCCTATAAT